GAGTGAAATCATATGGAACAGGTGGAAAGATGATCGCAACCTTATTTGTCATAGGTATGTGTGACGAATACAGTAATTCGTTTTATAAAATAAAATTGAATTTATGTGCGTAGAATAAAAGTAACTGCCCTTTCTGAGTCACAGGACTGTTGCCGCGTGTCTCTCGTGAGGTTGGAGTACTCTTCCCCTAAGGTTGTGAAGATTAATACAACAAAAAAATTAAGTCCACATGTACGTGTGACAGGTATTTAAAACTATAAATAGATGTTTTTAGTGACTTTTTTGTTTAAGCCAATATTTGCAGAGTTATATGCTTCTATATAACGAATGGGTATTTCTCCGAGATTGCGTCCTTCATCTGATTAATCTGGCCAAAAAATATTTTATTACAAATAATATTTGGCATGTCTTTAATTCTAGGAGTATGTTGAATAGAGCCAAAAATGAAAATAATTTTTGGCCAGATTAATCAGATGAAGAACGCAATCTCGGAGAAATACCCGAATAAACTCTTTTTACATCCGTTGCCTTCGTAAAATCTTGGACATCTCATGGCAAGACAGGGTGTCAATTTACAGCACTAATGGCAAATTAGTAAAAGCCGCCGCAGTCAACGTGTTAAGTATAACGTTAAGTTAACGTTCAATCTATGTAACATGTATCTATGTTAAGGGCTGTAGGTCTCCATTGAAATATTATTTATTTATGTTCTCTCTCTTGTAACTTTGTTAACAAGTAAAAAATATATAATTCATTAACATTTATGTTATTGAAAATATGTATCAAAAAATACACCCATAGCGTGTTACTTGAGCAGTTCGCGTGGTGAGTGGCGTTGACAAATTATATCTGTAAACGGTAGGATCACTTGGGCGTCATCAATTTATGTCATGGTCATGTCTTCTGAGACTGATGGAGTGCTATTTATTTATTCCTTTCTATAAAATGGTTCTTCTACTATCTGTTTATATGTACCTTATAGGCAGGTACTGTATTCTTCTGGAACTTTATATCAGGAAGTTTCATCGTACTTTAACATAACAGATATCAAAGATGGTGAAGAAACGAATTTAAAACATTTACGTGGAAAATTTCATGACATTAATATTATAATTACGAATTTGTTACTTCTTTATAGTTTATTTTTAGTTATATCAGCCCAAAGAAGTCGAATAGAATTTTTTGAACTTTAAAATGTGTATACAGGATTAAAAAAATTATACCAGGTTTTGCTTACAACGGCGCAGGCGTTTATACTTTATAGATATACATTTTCATTTCTTTTCAAACGACTGACCTGAAGTGATTTATAAAAACTTAAAAAAAACGACTTCCAGGCACTAAAATGTAAAAATTAACTAAACGGAAGTTTTCAATTAGAATAAATAGATACCTATTACTTAATCAGATATTTTCCAAGTCGGTGCCAGCCGATGCAAAACAAATCTAATATATTTCGAAACGTAAAATACATCACAAATTGATGTATAATATTTTACCTATAATTAGAATTCATACCTAATCATATTTACCTATTAGATATTCATATCTTAAAATATTAACGGCTGTCACCGACTTCGAACTTCGAAGTTTTTGTTTTTCCATTTTTAGTGTAGATATAATAAGCAGGTAACTTGTAAGAAGATATTTTTTTAATAACTTATTCGATTAAGAAATAAATTAAATAAATAAATTATTTAAAAAAATAATGTATTGTTGATTTTTTAAAATCCGTTCGACCAATTTCGATAAAATTTAAATGGGATCACCTGGAAAGTATACCCTTCAAAATAAAAAAAAATAAAAATCAGTTCAGGCGTCTTCGAGTAATCCGTAAATATACAAAAAAAAAAGATTCCGACGAATTGAGAATCTCTTCCTTTTTGGAAGTGGGTTAAAAAGATATACTCGTATAAAAATGAAAATAAAGTAACTTTACAATAATTTACTAACTATTAAGTTAATAAATTATTGTAAATTTACTTCATTTTCATTTATCATATGTCGTGTTATCCATATACTACGAACATCATCTTTAGTTTTTTTTTTTTTGTCGGGAAATGCATTTACGCATACCACCTGATCCCCCAGGTGGTGATGTGGGGCTCACCGGCTAGAAGAGCCGGTACTACTCACTAAAACCCGACATTCCCCTCCCCTCCGCCTTAATGGGACGCCGCAGGATCGCTTGCGCATAACTACTACGGCGCCCCGGCGATCATCTTTAGTTACTAATCCTGTGGGCGTTATCAGAGCTCAAATAATAAAGTATTCAATGCTCAATTTAATCAAAATGTATAAACTGTAAAAGATCGTTCTAATGATTTGACGTCAACCATCGACTTCCAACTACAATATCAAAGCATAACTCTCTATGATCCACCAAGATCAACCAACTTTACTAAACCACGAATCTCGAATGAATGTCATGATGACCTCTCGACCTCGCGCGAGAGAGTCTCTGCTCTAAATTCAAAATAACTTTAAAAGCAATAAATAGTAAACTGAATAACATAGTGACTTTAAGCAATAATAAGGTTTCATAGCAGAATAAGGTAATTAAATCCTCCTCCGTCATATATATTAGTTAAGAAGCTATATTATACAATTTATTTATTTTACACTTGTTGGATAAACAGTATCATGTATAAAATAAATAAATAATATTTGTAAATCAAAAGAAAAAATGTTGTTTATTCACGAACAATTATAATAAAAACGTCTTTAAAAATTATATGTTTTGTTACGTTGTTCTTGCGTACATTGTGCAATGTCCGTATTATTTGAACTATCCATATATATTATACAATATACATACATATAATATGTATGTCAAGCGCTGATCTATATATTCATAGCGTTTCTTAAAATATTTAATAAGAAATATTTTTATCATTGTCGGGATGAAATGACGTGAGCAGTTAATTTACAAACATCGGTAACGCACGACACGTCAGTGACAATGACCCGCTGCCGCACAGCACCGCAACCGGATTCAGGACATAAGCGGTTTTTGCAATTTCTCCACACGTACTACTTCGCCTCTCGGTATCCTTGTTAAATATTGCGTTAGATCGCTCAACGCTCATATCTAACGCTACTTTATATGAATTCTTCGAATACTGTATTACTACATAGGTACCTTTCCAAATAAAACTTGAAACACTTTAAATAGATATATAAATTTTAAGTTATAAAATTACATAACAATAAAGCGATATTGTAAATAATAGCACAACGCTCAAATCATTGAATAGTTAGTTCAAAAATAGCTGTGCAAAAACTAGAAGACTGTAAAGGTTAAGGTTTTTACTATTTAAATTTGCGTTTCATTGTATAAGCTTTGGTCCTGCGATATTTGCCCTGTACAGCTCTACAGCTCTAGATCTCCGCCTCTATGTCGCGCCGCCTCAACAATAAACTATTTAATTTAATTACACTATTCTCTTATCTATCTCAATAATATAATCAAGTGTACATTTATTTTTGTTAAATTATAATAAGAACAATTATGTAAAAATAACAAACTCTGCATTTAGCTAACGCCCGCTCTACTAATTAAAATATTTCAGTCTTGGCTGTTCTTGCATTCAAGTAACAAAGGATCTGAGATTTTTTTTAATCGTAACTCCAGAATATATTTTCATAACTACGCATTAGTACTTTGCGTAATAGTTTTATACGCTATAAGTAATACTAACGAGGGCAAGGATAAAATATCTGCACTTACAATGCGGGTACAATTATTATGTAAAGCTGTAAATATCGTTCAATTACAAAATGTGCTGCGATCCGTCCAGTTAGAGACTTGTACGTCTTACCCTAAAAATGTGATTTTTTTGGTATATATCTCTATTAAAATAACATAATAATAAATTAAAAACTAAGTTTATTTATCTAAATACGTGAGAAAACGCTAATAAAATATGTATAAACTAATTTACTTAAAAAGTGTTATCTATTCATATAATAAAACTGTAGAGGTGGCATGTTTGTACATAGAAAAAAAATTTGCTAAAAACAGAGTCAGGGGGGTGTAAGAAGAGAAATAGAACAAATCCAGATTTTTTCAATATTTTCGTTTCTCTGTCTGTTTGTCTGTTTGTACGGGCTAATCTCCAAATGCTCCAAATGCGGTTGAGCCGATTTAAATGAAATTTTGCATGGTGGTATCTTATATCCCCGGTCAACATTTTAGATACATTTCATCCCGAAAAATTAAAGAGTTCCCGTGGGAGTTTACTTAGCACCTAATTTAGTAAAATTTGTCATTCTGATACCTTATATTGCCGGTCAAACAACAGGTTACTTTTTATCCCGGAAAAATAAACGGTTCCCGTGGGACAGACCTGTTTGCTTTTTCTATTTCGATTTCGTAAGATATAAATGAAATAAATAAAATCGCATTTTTGTGGCAAATTTCTAAAAATGATTTATATCAGCGTAAATTCTTCTCGAACATAACATAAAACGTAATTTTTACCCGTAGGATAGGAATAGATAAAAAATAATAATGGAATAAAATATTATTATATTACCTTTACATACAATAAATAAAAGGATCAAAACAACCCCTCACAATAAAGCTCAGCTATTTTTGGGAAATCTCGGAGAAAGAGGGATTCATCTGGGCTTTAACGGTTTTCTTAGTGAAAGTATTTCGTAAAATAAAAATGTGGCAAAAGGGTTGCCGTGAAGTTTTTCATCTCGCGAAGTACATACGTTAAATTAACTCTTTTGATCTCGGATATTATATCTTATTAATTTTGAAAGGCATTTAATATTAATATGCAAATTTCCTTTTAATCAGACAACGCTAGGAATCCTTTTCGCGGTGTGAAATAACAAAGTGATAACATCGAGGTAACCTTATAATTAAGCACAAAGCTCAAATCTTTTTAGCGAACCGGCGCTTACAAACAATGATTCTATATATACCGATATTTTTATTCGCCTTTTCAAATAAACGATAAAAACTTGTCCGGTCACTTTCCATGTCATCTCACATCGAATGAGTCAGTCGTGATTTTTTCGTATTTTGGGTGCTTTCTCCCGCACCTGCTCACGGATGCGAGCACTTTCCATCGGCAATGGGAGCAGCGCGCGGCCTCGATCCGCCGCGGCCGGCGCTCGGCGGCACAGCGGCAGGCGGCGGCCGGCAGTGTTCCTGCGGCCCAGCCATCGACGCGCGTGTTTCTCGAGCTCTCTTTCGGCGCCAACGTCCGCGCGAACATCGACGCGAGTGTAGTGCCGTGTTGTGTACTTGTTGTGGATACTGTCAACTCTGGAGCCTTACGTTACTTTACTGAGGTGTGTGCTTTGAAAATATTTACATTTTGTACCTAATTCGGTAAACAAGATTTCGCTTGTTAAGCAAAAAATGTGAAAGTCCAGCAAGATACATCGGTTTTTTCGCATCGGTCACGCCTGCTGGCTTTATTGTGTGTAGCATGATTTACTGCGTTACTTTATATCACGTATTTTTATTAATTAGCCGTTTAAGCGACGTTTCAACGTAACTTCTTTCTGATTAGCAAACTTTCCTACGTCGTGTTGCTAATTTGCTCTAGTGTCTAACGTTTCTATTTCTATTTATTTATATAATAAAATATCGTATAAGTACATGCATGCAACCATTAATGTATAAAATATCACACGCACAGTGTAGAAAAATACCGCCATTAATTAACAGACAGACCGCGAACTTTCTAAATACTTCGAAGTAGTTAAGCTTAAAGCTGCGACATACCTACGGTATACAGAAAAGTTCCTAATATAATTAAATTATATTAGGAACTTTACTTAACCTAATATTTTTAAATTAATGTACTGTGATTGTAATTTGGTATAATTTACCACGTTCATAGCGAAGGTCAAGGATTACGAATATTCTAAATAATAGGTACAATTAAAAATATAATTTCATATTTGCACGCAAACTTAAATTTATTATTAACGGTATATTAACGGTTAGTATTTTTTATTTTTATTTTATTTATTATTAGGGAAACATACAGTGTTACAACACAAACAACATATAACAATAAAAATAGTACATACACCAATAAAGTTTCCACAAACAAACGATTCATACAGTAAAAGAGTAGAGATTTGACAAAACAACAACACTAGAATTGTGTTAGCAGAACATGCATTAATATAAGATATGGAGTTAAATTATAAATCTTTTAGGAGAAGTACATTCCTAATTTTCCTTTTGAAATTTTCTACAGTGCAATTCATTAAATAACCTATATATAAATTCATTTTGAGCGAATTTCGTCCTGGTAACAGGAAAGCAAAACAAATCTCTTCGACGAGTGTTGAAGCTGGGACATCTGAATTGTATATTACTTAAAAGATAAGGGGAGTCAACAAAATTATTAATTATTTTATATAAAAACATTTGGTCTTTAAATAAACGACGGCTTGCAAGAGAAGATACAGCAAGGCAGCTTTGATGTAGAGAGAGGCACCTAAAGTTCAAATGTTTAATAAATTTAAACTGGGCCCTCTCGATTTCCTCAATGTAAGTTTTACGGTTGGGGTTCCATATTATTGATCCATATTCCAGAATCGAACGAACCAAGGTATTATACAGTAAAAGCATTGTAAAAATATTCTTAAAGTCCTTACTCACTCTAAGTATGAAACCCAGCATTTTAAACGCTTTGGAAGTCATTTAATTTATGTGGTATTTAAACAACAATTCTCTCTAGAATTATACCCAGATCACGCACTTTAGTAACTCGCGTTAATACTTCACAACCAAGTGTATATGGGAAATCTAAGGTAGAAAGCTTCCTAGAGAAAGAAATAACGGAACACTTCCTAATATTCAGATGTAGATAATTATTGGAACAATATGAGTAAAGTCTGTCTAAGTCTTCCTGTAGTAGAGCGCTATCTGAGAGACATGAGATTTTTCTAATAATTTTCAAATCATCAGCATAAAGAAGAAATGAACTATTCTTAAAGACAACCTTAATGTCGTTCAGGAATATGTTAAAAGACAATGGTCCCAGATGAGAACCCTGAGGAACACCAGAGGAAACAGGCACGAAAGATGACGTTTGGCCTTTAATAGTTACAGCCTGACTTCTGTCCCGAAGATATGAGGTTATCCAGCGTAGCAGATCTCCGTGTATACCCATCCCTGCAAGTTTTTGGATAAGAACATGATGGGGAACCTTGTCGAAAGCCTTCGCGAAATCGGTATAGACTACATCAACCTGGTGACCCTGGTCCATGGAAGCAGTAACGCGATGGACTAATTCAACGAGATTTCCTTCGGTTGATTTTTTATTTACAAATCCATGCTGTTCGTTAATCAAAAAAGGCCTTAAATTGGGAAATTTTAATATAGGAACCACAAATGATTTCTTCATTCGTTTTAGTGTTAGTATGGAATAGATAGCCTATATATATATATATATATATATATATATATATATATATATATATATATATATATATATATATATATATATATATCCGATTTCTGGGATAAAAACTATCCTATATCTTTCCTAGGGTCTCAAACCATCTCTACACTAAATTTCATCTAAAACGGTTCAGTGGATTTTTAGTTTATCCATTATGAACAAACGTACAAATTTTTTTTTGTCTTTATATTATTACTCGTAGTTTAGATAAACTTACCTTTACTGGCAACAAATTTCAGTAGAAAAAGTAATAATACTCGTATCATGTTAAAAAAATACATGATAGCGTGCGATGTTACGCTTCACTCTCTGGAAATATCACGAATTATCCGACTTTCTCCATGATAACAAAGCCTTAACCATTTCGAGACTCAGATTACCTAGAAATAGATAAAAATTTAGTGTTAATATTTGTAAACAAATTTAAGGATGGAGGGAGAAAGAGTGTGTGTGAGAGAGAGAGCGGTACGTCAATTATACAAAGCCAAATACCTATAGTAACATACATATAGGCTTACTTATTGATTTGTGCACAACCGGAGCCGGTAGTTCTGCACTAGTAAAGATTTACAGCAATCATGGTCACGGGAGAGATTTAGGTGTTAAATGTCTCAAAGGTATTGTTGTTACAGACAGCCTACCCACAAAATAGCAAAATAAATAAGTTAACTGTGCGGATAAAAATAACAGTATTTCAAATGAATATTTTTCATTTGTAAATGTAGTAATAGTGTTGCTTAATATTTTGATTTTAAATAATAGCACGCTAAATTAAAATTATGATTCTTAATTATTTACCTTTTTTAATATTTTAAATTAGACGTAGAATAATGATATGGCTTGCATAATTAATATTTTATTTTCTTTATGTTTATAAATATTCATTATGGCCTAGAATCAACCCTTTGGGGACGAATACTGTATAGCCGAATAACTACAATGCGTAATATTATGACAAGCCTAATTATACAATATCCTTGAAATGTTTGGCACAAGTTAAACGTATGCAGTAAAAGCGACTTGATGTTCCTTTTGTGGGTCGTAATATGAAGTTAAGGGCGAGCGGAGAATATTAAGAAGCTGGCGTTATTCTGTCTCGTGCGCGTTAAATAACATGTGCTAAAAGATAACCTTACTAATTCCCTTTTAAAGTAATATAGTAACTTGTGTAACAATGAAATGTTTGAAAAGTATATAAAATATGTATATCTATGTATATATTACATAGTATGTTGTGTTGTTCTATTTGTTTTGTATTGTTCGTATCAACTACGAGTAGAATGGTGTAGAGTACAATGAAGTTCAACGAGTTTACAAATTTTTACATTTAGAACCTGATATAAATCAAATTCTAGGTAATAAATATTTCCAGAATATAAATGAGTAAAGATACTCTTTATAACATCAGATATCGTTTATATTATTATCATCTTATTTATAAAAAAACTTTTATTTACTCTGTATTTTTCTCAAGAATCACTTATGATATTTTATATTTTGTGTAGTCACCACTTACCTAGTGTCGTGACAAAGTGGGATCTCTGTAACTAACAGTGTACTGCTGACAGCGTAAATGTTTACTGCATACACTACCACCGGGCACCGACCGACCCAGTGGTTGGCGCTAGAACATTGCTTTGATCACACAAAATGTAGTGTCTCGATGTGAGCGGGAAATACAGGATGAGAGTCAGAACTATTTCCCTAAAACTACACATTAGAGTAAAAGCCAAAACGAAATGAAAAATAAAGTATTTTAATGTGTGAACTTAAACAATAGTATTTATTGCATCGAAGCTTATCGATGAATGCGTTAAATGGAATAAAAAATTACATTTTTATAGCAATTATTTAATTGTACTCATTGTTTTGTAACAAACTGATTGTAAAAGAAAATAAAATCATTCGACCCCAGTTTCCAAGAATATTTTTACAGAAAACTTTACGGAAAAATCGATTCAGTAATTTCTTTAGGAGATAATCCATTCGAAGACCTTTTCAAAAGATCTGGGAAAAGGACGAAGCCGTCCGCGGGAAAATGTCCCTTAGGAATTACCTAATTCCATTGGATTATACCTTTGTAAACAAGTTTTCGCAATAAATTGTCTAATTAATGAGTAGAGTTTCAGACGTCATTATTTATAGCTGAAAGGCGTTCGTTTAGACTGAGCGGTGGTAGCGGCGCGGCGCGGTGGAGTCTTTTAAACATTACAGGTGTAATTAACCTGATTCATGCGCTTTGAGACAAAGATTGAGTAAGTCGTACTTTTTACGTTGAAATTCTGATGATGAAAAATTAAGTGGTCGATAAAAAAACTTGAAAAGTGTCTGCCGTAAATAGCACTTTGCTTTTTATTCATTCGCGTATAAAGGAGTAGATACACATATCTATTTTTAAAACAGTTTTACTATTTACTCCGCATGTTGTTTTGGTACAGGAAGCTGCACAAAATGTTATCTGTGCTGAAGTCATTGAAATCAGTCGCAGATTTGATTGTGGAAACTCATGCGGTAACCAGACAGACACGTGCACCAATACATTTTTGTACCTACTTATAATATTAGTTACTATAACAGGATAAATATCATTACGAACGAGTTACTTAGCTTTGATTTAACTTAATACTCTTTTGTAGGGAATATTTAAATTACAAGTTTGTCAGTTAATTTAATAGATCAAGATAAAATTTATTAGAAGGTAAAAATCAAGAAGTTTTTTCAAGAAACTGTGTTTATACACCAGATATGTCGAGAGCAATAAGTATTCTTCCAACATTGTAAGCTCTGTA